TAATATCAATATAAAATATATTCTTTCGTTAAATCATCGACTTCTGTATTTTGAGATATGTTTTGTTACCAAACGCGAAGCGGATGTTTTGAACTCGAAAAAAATCAAACTTTAAGTGATTATTTAAGAGTTGTTGAGATGCTGGTTGTGTGAAATGTTAGATTACAGAATGTAATTAGAAAGAAGTGCTGGCCTTTAGACTAGAGAATGTGTGTTTCAAAAAAATACCCATATGCGAAATTTTTCCTTCGAACATTTTAGGGGAATCACGGGAACATATCGACCGCTTGTAAGTTTTCACAATTTTGAATTTCCTCAGTCGCTTCCTGAAACTCCTCCAAGGCCATTATCATCACTGACGAGTCATAGAAGGACGGAACAAAATATGACACAGGAACATTAATTGTTTGACTCTTCACTATCTTTTTCTACATTTGTGATATCAACTTGTGTCGCTTGAAGAATCTTTGAGATTGCTGGTTGTAGACACTGCTGGTGGACATTTAGTCCCCGAGGTTTGTATGTGGTAGACACTGCTGGTGGACATTTAGTCCCCGAGGTTTGTATGTGGTAAACACTGCTGGTGGACATTTAGTCCCCGAGGTTTGTAGGTGGTAGACACTGCTGGTGGACATTTAGTCCCCATTTAGTCATAGAGGTTTGTAGGTGGTAGACACTGCTGGTGGACATTTAGTCCCCGAGGTTTGTATGTGGTAGTCACTGCTGGTGGACTTTTAGTCCCAGAGGTTTGTATGTGGTAGTCACTGCTGGTGGACTTTTAGTCCCAGAGGTTTGTAGGTGGTAGACACTGCTGGTGGACATTTAGTCCCCGAGGTTTGTATGTGGTAGACACTGCTGGTGGACATTTAGTCCCCGAGGTTTGTATGTGGTAGTCACTGCTGGTGGACATTTAGTCCCCGAGGTTTGTATGTGGTAGTCACTGCTGGTGGACATTTAGTCCCAGAGGTTTGTAGGTGGTAGACACTGCTGGTGGACTTTTAGTCCCAGAGGTTTGTAGGTGGTAGACACTGCTGGTGGACATTTAGTCCCCGAGGTTTGTATGTGGTAGACACTGCTGGTGGACTTTTAGTCCCCGGGGTTTGTAGGTGGTAGACACTGCTGGTGGACATTTAGTCCCCGAGGTTTGTATGTGGTAGTCACTGCTGGTGGACATTTAGTCCCAGAGGTTTGTAGGTGGTAGACACTGCTGGTGGACATTTAGTCCCCGAGGTTTGTATGTGGTAGTCACTGCTGGTGGACTTTTAGTCCCAGAGGTTTGTAGGTGGTAGACACTGCTGGTGGACATTTAGTCCCCGAGGTTTGTATGTGGTAGACACTGCTGGTGGACTTTTAGTCCCCGGGGTTTGTAGGTGGTAGACACTGCTGGTGGACATTTAGTCCCCGAGGTTTGTATGTGGTAGTCACTGCTGGTGGACTTTTAGTCCCAGAGGTTTGTAGGTGGTAGACACTGCTGGTGGACATTTAGTCCCCGAGGTTTGTATGTGGTAGACACTGCTGGTGGACTTTTAGTCCCCGGGGTTTGTAGGTGGTAGACACTGCTGGTGGACATTTAGTCCCCGAGGTTTGTATGTGGTAGTCACTGCTGGTGGACATTTAGTCCCCGAGGTTTGTATGTGGTAGACACTGCTGGTGGACATTTAGTCCCCGAGGTTTGTATGTGGTAGTCACTGCTGGTGGACTTTTAGTCCCAGAGGTTTGTAGGTGGTAGACACTGCTGGTGGACATTTAGTCCCCGAGGTTTGTATGTGGTAGACACTGCTGGTGGACATTTAGTCCCCGAGGTTTGTATGTGGTAGACACTGCTGGTGGACATTTAGTCCCCGAGGTTTGTATGTGGTAGTCACTGCTGGTGGACTTTTAGTCCCCGAGGTTTGTAGGTGGTAGACATTTTGTCCTCGAGGTTTGTATGTGGTAGTCACTGCTGGTGGACATTTAGTCATAGAGGTTTGTAGGTGGTAGACACTGCTGGTGGACATTTAGTCATAGAGGTTTGTATGTGGTAGACACTGCTGGTGGACATTTAGTCCCCGAGGTTTGTATGTGGTAGTCACTGCTGGTGGAATTTTAGTCCCCGAGGTTTGTAGGTGGTAGACATTTTGTCCTCGAGATTTGTATGTGGTAGTCACTGCTGGTGGACATTTAGTCCCAGAGGTTTGTAGGTGGTAGACACTGCTGGTGGATATTTAGTCCCCGAGGTTTGTATGTGGTAGACACTGCTGGTGGACTTTTAGTCCCTGAGGTTTGTAGGTGGTAGACATTTTGTCCTCGAGGTTTGTATGTGGTAGTCACTGCTGGTGGACTTTTAGTCCCCGGGGTTTGTAGGTGGTAGACACTGCTGGTGGACATTTTGTCCCCGAGGTTTGTATGTGGTAAACACTGCTGGTGGACATTTAGTCCCCGAGGTTTGTAGGTGGTAGACACTGCTGGTGGACTTTTAGTCCCCGAATTTTGTAGGTGGTAAACACTGCTGGTGGACAATTTGTCCTCGAGGTTTGTATGTGGTAGTCACTGCTGGTGGACATTTAGTCATAGAGGTTTGTAGGTGGTAGACACTGCTGGTGGACATTTAGTCCCCGAGGTTTGTATGTGGTAGACACTGCTGGTGGACTTTTAGTCCCCGAATTTTGTAGGTGGTAGACACTGCTGTTGGACAATTTGTCCTCGAGGTTTGTATGTGGTAGTCACTGCTGGTGGACATTTAGTCATAGAGGTTTGTAGGTGGTAGACACTGCTGGTGGACATTTAGTCCCCGAGGTTTGTATGTGGTAGACACTGCTGGTGGACTTTTAGTCCCCGGGGTTTGTAGGTGGTAGACACTGCTGGTGGACAATTTGTCCTCGAGGTTTGTATGTGGTAGACACTGCTGGTGGACTTTTAGTACCCGAGGTTTGCCGTAACAAATATGTCACGTTTTTAAGTACACGAATTAAAGCACGGCTAAGAATATACATAAAATACTTAAAGTTCTTTTGAAATTACCTGATATATGAAAATCATGATCTCATTTAAGTTACGGGGCCAGGTTTTCACGATCTTTACGACCAATTATATTTGACCTATGTACGCCACCAGCAAGGCTAACATCTCACTCATGAATTCCAGAAAAACTAAACAGGTCTTTTGTGTAGTTGAATTCATTCTTTCGCTCCTCTTCATCAATCTAAATGCCTATTTGAAGGTGTTTTTCAATTGTAAATCTTTTCTATAATAATTTACAATATCCACTGTTTCTAAATCAATACCTAAGTGTATTAAATCTCAATAACTCTAGTGCAAAACCTAACCCAGTTAACTATGTATATAGTTCAATGACAGCGCACTGCCTTCCGCTCAATGAAACACCACTATGAAGGCTAATTTACTTATCCCATAAAATCATTTATATCTGTGAAGGTAATCAATCAAAAATTGTGATTTTTTATGAATAAATTTGTAGAAATAATAGTACTTGGTGTTACTGTCATGGAGTTTGGTGTAGGTGTCCCTTAAATGCTGCTGTAAATGTCTATAGTGCATAACAAGAATTTCACAATAAAGAAAATTGTACAAAGCGTAATTGCTGAAAGAAAAATATAAGTGTTAACTTTTTAATTGATGTAGTTTATGAGGTCATAAATGCAATGGAACGGTCGATAAATTGTCCTTAACCTCATCTTGTTTACTAATTTGACCTCGTGCTCCACTGCACTTATGATTTCATTACCTAATCAAAATAAAAGACGATTCCTAAACCAAGTTTATAAGAAAACTGGATATAATATTGTTATGAAAGTACTTGATATTTGTTTAGATGGAAATTTAGGAATATTTTGCTTTTTAAAACTATCCTACTGGATGACAGGTTATCGTAGATTCTGCTTTCCTTGTTGAAATGTGTCCACTGTGTTCTAGAGCTAGACATAACATGACTAGAAATGGCACAGGATCTGAAAAGGCATGTTATCATGACCATAACTCGGAACATTTTCTTCGGGTTGTTAAGACGAATAGAACATAAGTTCTTATAACACAACCAGTAGAATATTCAGGTCTTAAATCTTGTACTAGTTGTGTTACAATAACTACTGTAAATCACTTATATTTCGTGTAGGATTTATTTTCGCGTTGACATGCGAGGAGAATTGGTCGCTAATTCAAATCCCTCGCGATTATTTGTAGAGAGAATTCTTAATGGCATCCACGCTGATTCTTTTACCGATATCGCAATCCATATGTCTAAAAGTTTATCATTCGCAAAATTAAGAGTCATTTCTGAAGAGGTAAGTTCGCGAAATAAAGTATTCGCGAAATCTATGTGATTTACAGTATCTGATAAATCAAGAAATGTGAGATGGTTTTCTTACTTGTGGGCAATTGCCATTGTGTTTGTAAATGAAAGCCATTTTGCACACGATGCATACCCAAATGCTAAAAGTGTGACATTCGCAGAAAAGAAAAAGAATTTGGGTCTATCGATGCCTCGTCAGTGGTGATAACAATATCAAAATATTGAAGATATAAAAATATTTTCTTTCTAAGCCTTAATTTAGCCCATTTTAAATTATTTTAAATTGTACTTAATAATTGTTTGAATGGAAGCCCCCTTCTTGAAAAATTAAATACACAAATTTGTATTAGTAATTTATTGTTTTGTACATCCTAGTATCAACCTGAAATAAATTTTAATATACAACGTAGTTTTAACAGATTCAATTTATCACGAGGCAAGAAAAAATCTTCATAATTAAAAGAATTAATTCCCATATAATGAACAGACCGTATTTTAGCAATATGCTTACAATGATATTCTTGTTAAAGTTCTAGACTTGTACAGCACGCACGTTTTCTGTTCAGAAACACATACACACAGTATATATCCTCAGTAATAATTTTAGTCGCAACATCGGCTTAATTTAGAAAGCCGAATAAAAACCAAGTAATGATATTATCGGATTTCCTGGCTAAGAGCGTGATTGTTAAGGGTGTCGATTTGGGCAGCTTCAAACCGGAGAAGGTGTGTGTATTTGACACCACACCTCGCATTCCGTGAACTCCGCACGGCACTCCATTTCACAAGGCAAAAGTAGCAGTCGTTCATGTACTTCCTTCCGACAGGCAGTCATACAGACGTGGAGTTCCAATTTGCAATCCACACAACAAGACACAATGCGAATGTTACGGTTCAGAATATTATCGTCATTGACATCATCACACTGTGGTTTACTGCTAGCCAGAACCCCGGAGTGGTACCACACACAGATGAGAAGCACGGCCAGAACTTGGTTCTTATTCGTTCTTGAAACCTGCAACAGATTCTTATTTTAAAAATATCTTCTATAACATCTTTTTTAGATTCAACGGTCGTGTTTATTTCATCATCATCAACTTGTTGAAAACATACAATTTACAAATGATATTACATAATATGCATTCAAGAATAGCCGTGCATATATCATCACAATCAACTAATGGATACATCGACAACAACAAATACAGCGTTATTAACATAACTAGAAATCACTACAATATATATTTGTCATAATCTGATAATTTACACACGGATTGGTTAATATAGATATGAGCTATGATAATCATTATATCAATGATGGTCGTACTTTGTCTAAAACATATATCGTTATAGTTTACGAAGATCGTTTATGTTATCGACACTAAGCAATTGTATAAGTTTACACATAGAAGGAATTCGCCAATAAGATGGTTTTATATATTTGATTCTTCAATTTCGGTCATTCCTGCATATCAAAATAAAATGATATTAATATTCGGTGTCTAAATTACAACACGGACAAAGTTCTCGCTCTCTCGGTATCTTCTATAACATTTCTAATGAGAAAACTTGATTTAATTAACTTTTCCAAAAGTTGAAGCATTGGTTTGTGTAAGTGTTTAGTCTTCTACCGAACATTTCATTCTAACTGAATCACAAAGAAACAAGATGGAGATGTATTCAGTGACGGGATAGAGTGCATGATACGATCTCGAAAAATGGCGTTTGTCCTTTTGATTAAGGCTAAATGCGTTATCTAGCCAGTGATATGATATTAATTAAAATTCTATTATTTCTTCACTATTATCAGAAGGCTGATAAGAAGCCTTCTACGAAAATACCAACATGTCAACATAATCATAATCCAAACTCAAATTCTATAAAACTAGGTCAATAACAAGAAAATATCAACATGTCAACATAATCATAATCCAAACTCAAATTCTATAAAACTAGGTCAGTAACAACAAAATCCCAACATGTCAACATAATCATAATCCAAACTCAAATTCTATAAAACTAGGTCAATAACAACAAAATCCCAACATGGCAACATAATCATAATCCAAACTCAAATTCTATAAACAACAAAATACCAACATGTCAACATAATCAAAATCCAAACTCAAATTCTATAAAACTAGGTCAGTAACAAGAAAATCCCAACATGTCAACATAATCATAATCCAAACTCAAATTCTATAAAACTAGACAGTAACAACAAAATACCAACATGTCAACATAATCATAATCCAAACTCAAATTCTATAAAACTATGTCAGTAACAACAAAATCCCAACATGTCAACATAATCATAATCCAAACTCAAATTCTATAAAACTAGGTCAATAACAACAAAATCCCGACATGGCAACATAATCATAATCCAAACTCAAATTCTATAAACAACAAAATACCAACATGTCAACACAATCATAATCCAAACTCAAATTCTATAAAACTAGGTCAGTAGCAAGAAAATCCCAACATGTCAACATAATCATAATCCAAACTCAAATTCTATAAAACTAGGTCAGTAACAACAAAATACCAACATGTCAACATAATCATAATCCAAACTCAAATTCTATAAAACTAGGTCAGTAACAACAAAATACCAACATGTCAACATAATCATAATCCAAACTCAAATTCTATAAAACTAGATCAATAACAAGAAAATACCAACATGTCAAATATACGCATCTCATCTCTCATGCAAAGAGAGGCTTTTGAATAAACATAGCTGTTAATAGGGCTTTTAAAAAAATATGGGGCAAAAATCAATTGTTTCTATAGTCTTTTGATGGCATGGTATACATGAAAGATACACCATGTTCCTTCAGCACGATAGATCAGAAAGGGTCAGTGCGTTTGTTACTCTGTCCCTTATTGGACATATTTAATTAATATGGTTCCTTGTCAAGCTTAACGTGTTTGTGGAGAGTAATGAACAAAGGTCGCTCGATGAGATAAATTATTGATTTATTGATAATTTTTTTATTGGATAGCTGTCCTCCTAACTTTACAACATTGAAATAATCTTGATATCTAAGCATATGAAAGTCGATTCCTGAAAACATCCTGCTCTATCTAATACATCAATAAAGACATGCAATATGGTGAAAACAATACAGTGATGGTATATAGGTGTACATATTCATTATAGAAGTATTTCTTCTTAAATGCCTTTGTAAATATTGTCCATGAGAATCCGCCTTTGTATTTCTTATATTTCCTGGTTAATTGCACAAAGTATCTACATTATACATCAAGAAATAATCACCATTACAACATAATCATAATCATAAATTCCACAAAATAAGGACAAAATAGGAAAAAAGTAAGGGTTACACGGAGGCTCCTGAAAAAGGACAAGGGGAGAAGGACTAGATGTTTCGCAAGGGTTAGTGTCTTCTGCTTCATCGACGACACCTGCCATGTCAATCTTGGTCAATCCAAGTTAATAATGTCACATTCTCAAATGAGAACAAGGTCTACAACACGTCCAGCTTCATATCACGCAACGGACCAAAATTTTCATTTTTCTATATTTAATTTCATTGATTGAATAGTAAGTATCACGTGACGAGTGAACAAGTGGAGTATACCGATTCCTATATATTATGACGTTACCAAGAATGCATTTTTCATGTCAATGAATTTTTTTGAAAGGTGATAATGGTAAATGTATTGAATAACATGAAAAGCCTATATACATGTTCTCCATTAAAACAGAAAAGCTTTTATACATGTACTCCATGGATGGTTTATGGAGTAGAACAATACTAACCAATACAACAGGTAGTTTATGAAAACATTCGATGAATTATTATTATTACAATCTTAACGGTCCGTCAACATATAAAGGTAATTAAGGGGATTAAGGACATAATCCGGTAAAACACACAGCGATCCAAAGAGGAAATAACATCACTCAAACTTAAAGGTAAAAGACAAATGTTTAATCAAAAATTGTATGGTTATATTATCAAAAAATATCAAAATGGCACATCATAGTATATTATATAGACCAACATCATTCATATAATCAAGAATTAAATAAATCTCAACAGATTAAAAAAGGGGATTTTAGACGTATAATGTAACGATAAAAAATTTTCGAGTTGACAGAAAATCAATGCAGTCCAATAAAACATGTTAAATGGTGAATGAAGCATCACATTATATGCACTGAGGATTATCTTTGTAGGAGTGATATTATGTGATTGGATTCCAGGTACCAAATTAATCTGGAATTAATCATTCGCTTTAGAGCTTTAAAACGCAACTCGTGAGCGATATTGGGCGGTAACTAAAGGGATCTATCGTATATTTACCCTGTTAGGGACATTATACGATTTAAAAGTATAATTAAAAATATCTAATGATGATTCTGGTAGATGTTTTAGGAATGGATAGCAAATATCATCAGGTCCTGTCGCAGAGTCATGCGATTTTTTTCAACGATTCCCGACGTTCTTACATTGAGAAAGGTGGATGATAAGTTTTATTGTTTTTCGGAAGAGAATTTCAACTTTGTTTTTTCTCTAATGGTCTTAAAGCTTTGAAAATATTTTGGAATGATTATGTGCAAACAAATGTTTAGAAGAAAGCAGATCCTAAAGTATTTTCAATATCAAATTTCGTTTTGGCTAATTTTCCATTTGTTTTCAGATGTCCTATTGTTTGAATTTGAATTTGAATTTCAATTGTTCCTATTGTTTCGAATGATATTACATGATATTTCCTATAGCTTTATCACAATCTTCATTAATCCAAGGTGTTTTTTGTTGTGGTGGTTTTTTTGGACTGCGGTATTCCTTCTTCGGCTATATCAAGAAGTTTGGTAGTAAAGAATTATATCAGGTCTTCTAATTTCAGGAAATAATTGGTGTTGAGAATTTTGGAATTGAGATGTTCAAATTTACTTCTTTATCTGCTTTATATATTCCAATGTGGTACATGATCGCTCTCTTTGGATCCACAATTCATCAGAAATATTGGAAAGCGGTCGCTTCCACAGATATCGTCATGCACCGTCCATTCGAAATCGAATATCAAGGATGGATGCCGTGATATCAAATCAAGGTTCGAGAATGTTCCGGAAGAGGGATGCTTATAAATAGGAAATTTATCATTGTAAAGACAAAGGTCATTTTCAAATATAAAATTTTCAATTTTTGTCCCTGTATCATTAGTGTCGAGTGAACCCCAAAGGTTGTCACACAAAAGTATGAATGGGCGAGGCAGTTGCGATAGGAGTTCGTTCATCACCGTAGAGTAACTACTTGGTCAACATTCATCTCTTTACCAGGAAGGTCTCCTACTTCACCGCCTTGTCAATCCAAGTGGATTTTTAACTGTGATCCACTAATTCTTTAAAGGAGTCGCCTAATCGAGGGTGTGGGTGTGGGTGTGAGGGGGGGTGGGGGGCTCATTTGCAAAATCAGGTGTTTCTCCTGCGTACCTTCTACCAACGGACATTGAGGAGACAAGTGTAGATAATGTTGTCTTAATGGTAACACTCTGGATATCGATTTTTTTCTTACCTGCTCTTTCTGTGTTTTATTTACCACATTGGTCATATATTATTGAAATTCAAACTCAAATCCCCGAAAAAGATGTGCTTTACATGGAGGCGAAGGTTTATCAAATTTCATCAAAGATTGATGACGATAGAGAGCTGAAAAAATAATTACCGTAACATTGACCTTGAAAATATCATTTGTCCGAGATACCATGGTGCTTTTTTGATGAGATATTGAATCACAATCCGAAAAAAGAAGACAATATAGTGCTGACGAGGATTTCCTAAAAAAAATAAACAAAAATAAAACAACAAAAATAACACTAACCCTAACCCTGAAACTGGAATTTGCCCGAGATATTAGTATGGTTAAAGAGAGTGATGTTGGTTCAAATTTCACTAAGAAATAAATCCACTAGCCCGCTTATAGGATTTTCCGAAAAGATTAACAATGACCTTGACATCCCTGAAACTGGAATCTGAGAAAATATAGTCTTTTATGATTCTGTGATAGAAACCCCCTAAAGAAATGAAGCTGTTCATGGTAAGGCATTTATAAATTAAAAAGTAACGGTGACCTTGATCCTAGAACCCTAAATTCGTATATATATATATACAACAGTCCATTATACAATACAAGTATGTGAAGTTGGATCTCGCTAGGTGATAATGTGTTACCTGATGTACGGGAACATCCCTGTATCAGATGTAAACTGATAAACAAGAACCTGTGTATTGGCTGTATCCAGTGTGAAGTGTATACTTAAACTATACATTAGCGGTGTAACTAAGGGGATTAGTGATTTGGCAGAAACACGCCTATATAGGCGTATCAAGCATTATCCTTCTATGTTGTTAACAATAGGTCCTCATAATGAACGAGCATCTAAGTTATTATTCACAAAAACAGTGTTTAATAACACATGGTCATATTTCATAATTTGCAAATGACATCACGTGTTTCCAGTAAAATACACTTTTAGTATGATTTTAACTACCGAGACTGTAAATACTAGCATAAGCTAGAAACGTGATGCTTTCAAACTTTTATATCTCCGACACAAATGCTTTAGTGTGTGACAAGTGTTCACTTCATTATAGTTTCCTAGAATGACAAATGTTGCGGACAAGCATAAATATTCAACAGGTTTTAATTTAGATCAAGCTGCCCGCTTAACAATACCGAACCAGCTTGGGTTGACCCCGGCGTTGACACATAAGTAACGTGGTACCTTGTGAGAAATTTACCTGATCCTATATATATATATATATAAACGACACATCCGAGATAAACAAACATCGTGCTGAACAAACGTTATGTATGTCTAATAGCTACACATGTAATGCCCTCAGTCATTAGCTATTCGACTTTACTCTGGTTTGTACAATACTAGACGTATCCAAGTTTAAATAATCGTCGAATGGAACTGTTTATTTTTAGTATTTTTATTTGCTTGACGTTTGAATAGTCAATACAGCAGTATAACCATATTAAGTGTTTTTTTTTTATAAAGGACTTCTTGAAAAGTGATCAGATATGGTGTACTGCTATCGTACACTTTCTGAACTCCTAATAACTGGACAATCCATTCATTATCCGTATAAAATGAACAGGTGGTTTGGCTGTTGTTTCAAATTGATAATACAAAGCGTCTGTCGCTGCTATTGTAGCAGTGTCGATCAAAGATAATATTTACACGGAGATCATTGAAAAATACAAGGTCTTCTGCGTCATCGACAAATTTTGATCAGTCCAAGTAAGTAATGTCGTCCCTAATGAGAACAGGGTAAACAACACCAGAACTCTCGATAGGACTTTAAACACTATGAATAATGTCCTGATAAATTGTCTCTTTCGTACAATTTTCATCTAAAAGAAAACTCCTCACGCGTGATTATTCCAAATTGTAAATGTATAAATTTCTTTTAAAAACAAGCGAATTCGGAAAAAAGAACAAGAAAATACCAACAGGTCAACATAATTATAATCCAAACTCAGTTTCCATAAAACTAGGTAAAGTATGGACAAAAGAAAGATTTACACGGAGAATCCTGAAAAAGGACAATAAATATAAGACAAGGTGTTCCGCAAGAGTAGGTGTCTTCTGCTTCTTCGACGACACCTAACCCTAACCCTAACATCTGCAACGTAAATCTAGGTAAATCCAAGTATTTAATGTCACATTCTCAAATGAGAACAAGGTTAAAACGCAACCAACAAATAAACTAACGTATATTCCAGAATTTAGAGTGTGCATCATCTGTATTTAGAAATAATAATGTCAACTCAATTAAATTGAGATCCTTCAGTGACTTTTGTGTTTACCGGAAGTTAACTTTGCACTTCCTGAAATAAACAAGTCTAACACTGGCCCTTACAGTGTCCGTTCATCTTTCTCCAATCAAAGTATAATAAATTGATGATGTCATAAAGACGGTATCCACGGATGATGTCATAAAGACGGTATCCATGGATGATGTCATAAAGACGGTATCCACGGATGATGGTATAAAAAATGTAGCATAGTCTTACTCCCTGCCTGCAAATACAAAACTATCAAACGAAATGCAAAACAATACCGACATTTCAACAAAAACGATGTTAATAAACATCAAACAGGTCACACTTCGAGTAGAACAAAGAAATCATTATGACGATCATAAAACAACGCCATAATTTCCACCAACCTGAATCTATGTTGTGCGTTTGTATGTCAGTTTTCTATATATTGTACGAAAATCGTGATATTAGGAACAAACAATTGATTATTATATCATGTGAGGCATGTACGCCCCCAAAGGGTTTCCTTCAGTATGCGGTGTAGGCATCTGTAATGGTGATTTTTATTACTAATTGTCTTTAATTGTTGAAAACCTTTTATGAAATTATCGATTCTTGGGAGTATTATTTTTTCATGTTACAATTTAAATAGGATATTTTGCAAGGTATCGAAGAATTTGGTGCCCTCGATAACACTTTAGTACAAATTTTCACAATTGACTGATGGCATGATCGTCAAAACATAAAATCTACAGACACACTGTATGTATGGATGTATGTAATTCTTCTCGTGTGCTTTTTTATACTAGCATCTGTATATAACTATCAAGTTTACTTCATAAATAATCATATATTCAATTTAAAATTAATTTTGTCAGTAGACATGACATGTCTTCGTAATTGACGTGGTGACCTAATGAAACTTCATGATTGATGTTTATTGTCTATGGCGTATAACATCTCGTTAAAGAAGAACACTACATGTCCGGGTAATCTAAACTGCCCTCCTGGCTGAACCCATCACTTATCGTGTGCTTGGTAATTGAATTTGAATTTGAAATTTGTATGTTTTATTGCAAATACAGAATGTTTAAACCTCTGAACAGGACACGCCTGCAGTTAATACGGACATATGGGTTTATATAATGTATGATTAATAAATAAGATCAATTATAATCTATGAAAAAATATGTGAATCAAATTTGTGGCCTTTAGACTCCTCCACTATATCATTGTCGGAAGTTTTTTCTGTTTTTTTTTTTTTTTTTTTCTTTTCTTTATATACATGTAAAAGTAATAAGTGAAAAGAGGTACATAGTAGTTATGTTTAGTGGAATTTAGTCGTAGGCCAACAAATGTGACAACGTCCATTGCATATACCCATCAGAATTGGAAGTCTAAGACAAAGCGAAAACCAACATGGGCAGCTTTCCACCAAGCTGTATGATAAGCGAAGTCCTTTCTGGATAACAGCATTCCAGCATTCCCAACCTATGATGTTTACATGCCGCAGCTAATTCGATTTTTAGGGCTTGTTCCCACTATCACGATTTTTCTTTCAAGATGTCGTCAACTGACGGACAAATTCTTAAAACAGGGATTTAAAAATGAAGGTTGGTGAAAATCATTGGAGGTTTTACGATCGTCTTAGTGACTCATTGAGAATATTTCTTTTACTTTGTAAGATATGAAGCTGGACATATTTGATGCTCGTTGGTTTGCCTATTGTTTCCGTTGTTGTATATCTTGTTCATGTGTGTTAATAGTGTATTGTTGTCATGTTATATCAGTTTGTTGTCCTCATGTTATAAAAAATAAGTCGTATAGTATTTATACTATATTGGTTATTGTGTATTGTCATATCATAATATTTACAATGTATTGACGTCACGTTTTATTATATTTCATTGCCATGTTAAATGAGTTACAATGTATTTACGTCACTTTTTATTATATTTCATTGTCATATTATACTAGTTACAATGTATTGACGTCACGTTTTATTATATTTCATTGTCATATTAAATGAGTAACAATGTATTGACGTCACGTTTTATTATACTTCATTGTCATGTTAAATGAGTTACAATGTATTTACGTCATTTTTTATTATATTTCATTGTCATATTATACTAGTTACAATGTATTGACGTCATGTTTTATTATATTTCATTGCCATGTTAAATGAGTTACAATGTATTGACGTCACGTTTTATTATATTTCATTGTCATATTATATTAGTTACAATGTATTGACGTCACGTTTTATTATATTTCATTGTCATATTATATTAGTTACAATGTATTGACGTCACGTTTTATTATATTTCATTGCCATGTTAAATGAGTTAAAATGTATTGACGTCACGTTTTATTATATTTCATTGTCATATTATACTAGTTACAATGTATTGACGTCATGTTTTATTATATTTCATTGCCATGTTAAATGAGTTACAATGTATTGACGTCACGTTTTATTATATTTCATTGTCATATTATATTAGTTACAATGTATTGACGTCACGTTTTATTATATTTCATTGTCATATTATATTAGTTACAATGTATTGACGTCACGTTTTATTATATTTCATTGCCATGTTAAATGAGTTAAAATGTATTGACGTCACGTTTTATTATATTTCATTGTCATGTTAAATGAGTTACAATGCACTGTCATCATATAATATTAGTGTGTTGTGTCCATGTTGTGAACATTGAATGCTCTGGTTTCATATTATATTAGTCATTTGGAATTGTCATATTATATCAGATACAATGTTTTGTCGAAATGTTAAATTAGCAGTGTCGTCATGGTTACGTGTAACCCTAAAGGAAAAGCTATACCGAGCTTTTTCCTGTATAGAGTATTGATTAGTACTTACTCAGGGGTTCCGACCGACTCTATTTTGTTTGAATTATGTTATAAGATTTTCTTTTACGTGACACTTTTTAACATTTATATGACGT